ATGTGTTTTATGAATCACTATCCATTAGAGAATCAATGGTACTCAAGGATGAAGATATAATTAGAGAGGTTAACGAATTCTACTTGGCTCTAATTATGAATTATTTATGGAGGATTGATCTATATGCAATGACTTTATCAAATGGATACTTCACAGTTTAGAAGTAATTAATGTCTATAATTTCGAAAGGTCAATTCCAAGTTTATAGTGAGTAACTATTGGAATTAATATAATTAATTAATTAATTAAAGTGTTTAATTAATTATTAATTTTATTGGAGCTCGGGATTATAGGTCCATTAGTCCCCGCATCGTCCTTGTAATTCTACCAGACACAAAGGGCAAAATGGAAATTTTAGAATTATGAAATTCTAAAATTAAATACTCAAAAATAATTAATTGAGAATTAATTATTATTTAAATAATGTGATTATTTAAATTTGAATTTAAATTATGAACATAATTTAAATTTATCCTTTTAAACTTATTTGATAAGTTGTTCAATTTAGAATTCAAATTAATTTAAGTTTGACTTAAATTCGAATTTGAATTTGAATTAAAATTGGACTACAGGATAAATGATGATTTTCTCTTCCTTTCCTATCTGCAATTGGCACCTCACACAGGGATAGGAAACCCTAGGGTTGGCCGGCCATAAGGAGATAAGAGAGAGGAGAATTTTTGTTCGAAATTCAAATAGGAGATAGAGATTTGATTCCTTTTAGAAGTTTGACTTCTACTATATAAATAAGATATGATAAAAAATTGCGCGTGACAATTTTTTGACCTAACTTTTTTGGGGGCTGGCCAAAATTCCCAAGAGAGAGAGAAGGAAATATTTTTTCTCCTAAAAATTTCACATCATGCATGCGTTGGTGTTTGTGGAAAATTCGAGTGTTTGATCTAACCCGATTTTGTCTCGAGTGTGCCCACACACACGTCTACATAGATTCAAGAAATTGACGTGGAAGACTTTGGTTTTCTAAACACAAGGCTTTGGAGCAAGGATCGTTCGTGGTCAAAGAACTTAAGTTATCATCCGAGTCGGCCTCAAGGTATTTTTCCTAATTGAGGTCTTGATATAAAAATTAATATGATTAATTTATTCGTGCATAAATTAATATAATCTATAGAGTATCTCAAAAGTTTTGTGAAAATTTTTGTTATACTTGATCCGCCCTCTACCACGCTTCCGCATCCGAATTCGATTCGGTTACCAACAGTAGAGTGCTCACATAATCTTCCAAAAGAAGTTTAGACCCCTCGGTGTCGGAGTCTGCGGTCAGCAGGGTGGAGCTTGAACCTACCCTTAATCATGAAGAATATGGGTTTATACTTGAGACTACGAGAGAACTCCTTCTATTTGTTTACTAAGTACGGGTATGGATTGCTCGAGGTCAAAGCGCTGATGCTAAAGAACCTACATTTCGGCGAAGCAATACTAGAAGTTAAGGGCTAGCTGAGTTGGAGAAATGCCGTGGAGATGGCAGAGATCTTTGACGAAAGGGTGGATTGGAAGGGTCATCCCCGCAGTGAACGACCTGGTATAAACGGAGAGGTAACCGAGAAAAGGATGGCTCACTCTAAAGTTTTTATTCGGAAAAAGGTACTAGAACCATCTAGCGTCAATACGCTCGTCCTTAAATGCTTTTTGAATATCTCAATTTCGAGTTTTCGACACCTTAGAATCGGTAGAGAAAGAGGGCTGTCAGGATCTCCGCTCATCGAAACTAAGAGGAAGTCCGTAAGAGACTCGAAATAGTCAGAGATGACTCCACCGGTATACTGGCAGACATTCTCATTGTCGTCGTCACCTTCGATTAATCAATCGACGATATCTCTATCATTTATCGGGTCGGCCGTGTACTCGTTGACTTTTCACAGTAGGGAATTTTCGCTTCCAGTTGAAGAAGATTCTCCGGAAGGCTCGACAGTTAGTGGAAGGGTCATGCCTCATAAGAGGCACTGACAAAGAGCACTCTCAACGACTAGACTTCTTTAGAGGCATTACTAAGTTTGAAAGAGAAAGAAGTCAAATAGTTAACACCTAAGGGTCGAGAGGGGGAAAGAGGAAAAGTAAGTTAGGATGCAGATTGCATAACTCTTACACGTAATCTAAAGCCTGAGAAATTTACCACCTAAGGCGACAAGTATTCAACATAACGATGAACATTCAAAGTAAAACCCATAAATTTAATTAAGAGCCCAGAATTCAAAATTTCCCAAAATAAGTTAAAAAAACCCTAGAAAAATGGTTCAAAAGTGTGCAAAAGTAATAAAAGGTAAGTTTTTGTTAATTTAACCTATTTCTAAGATATGTTGTAGGAGTAACAAGCAATTAGCACATATCCGAACCAGTGTATGGAAAAGTTTCTACATTTCCCATGAAATGAAAAGTAGAAATATAGAGTTTTGAAGAAAAACTTACCAGAAGTTGGAAAATCAAAAGACTCGGGCAAAAGTTGGAGGAAATCTGAAGATTTGGTGTGGAATTCTTCGAGAAAGCTTCGAAAGATGGTTTAGTTCAGGGGCTTGAGGAAATTTTAGTAGACTCTCGTCGAGTTTCAGAATAAAAATGATGAAAAATTCATTCTAAAACTGCCTCTTATAAAGAAGGGGAAGCCTCACCCCTTAGCTGTTGGATTGAATAATTGATCATCCGACGGTGGAGATAAAGGGCGATCCAATAGTGGAAGTATAGGCGGGAACCTGAAAGAGCGTGATCCAACAGTTGAGATCGCACCGTTTGAAATAATAAAGGGACGATTGACATAGTGACATGATCGACGTGACTATTGCTATACCCAAGAAGCATCTTCCATGTCAGAGCCATAATTGCGTAGAGGGGTTTAGGGCTAGAATCCTTCACAAGCAAGCTAACTCAGGGGAGGAGAATCATAACGGAGAACCTGCTTGGTTAAAGCTCGAACAGTCCAGAGGAATGCCTCGACCTAGTGGCCAAATGTTGTAGAGTAAAGCGCCGAACTCTAAATTAGTCCTTAACTGGGGCCCGCAAGCCAAAAAGAAGAGCATAAAATGATTAAGGACAACTCAGCCTAAAGAGCCATGTCAGCAAATGGCCTTCTTAAGAGTCGACCGTTACAAGGAAGCATCTGATATGAATAAGAGGTCAACTGTTGTGAGAAGAGGACATGAGGTCGACCACACTCACAGGTGATTACAAAGAGGTTGAAGGAAGCGTTTAAGGAGTTGAAGCTATGCAAAAATAAAGATTTGGAGGATTCTCTATGAGATTTACTATTTGTAATCTAGAAATATGAAATTTAAATAAGAAAACCGTCATGATTGATCGTGATCTCTATCTTTTGAGAAACTAACCCAAAAGATAAGGGAAATATCCCTGAATTTGAATAGGGAAACAAGGAGGGGCGGTGACCTAGGGTATAAATAAGGGATTATAAGTTAGAAAATCTATAAGTCTCATTCTGAGCATTAGTGTGTGTAATTCCTCTAATGATAATAAAATTTCTTTCCTCGCCACGGTGGACGTAGCTCTTGAATTGAGGGTGAGCCACTATAAATTATGTGTCTTCTTGTTTAAATTCCGCTTTTAATTACGTTTTAGATCATTTAATTCGCAAAAAACTGTTTAGAAATTTGTTATTATTCTATTGATGAATTTTCACCGTCAACAGTAGTCTATCTAAAAAGTAAACAACACTTAAACGAAATTACGGTTAGAGACTCATGCTGATAACGTGTTATAAAACAAATTTAAAAATAAAAAAAAATTCTAAGAAACTACAGAAAATACAAAGACAATATAAGAGAATATGAAAGTCAAAATAACTTTTTAATTTTTCATTCACTTATGAGGAGTGATCCAAACATGCTCATACCATCTCTATTTATAGGCTAAGAGTCATAAATGGAGATAATGCCAAAGGATTTGAGTTACATATACATTAAGATAGGTATATAGAGATAATACACAACATTAAAGGATTAATTATGAATGAGATAACGGGACCTAAATGAGAGATTATGAAATATGAAGCGGTGGTATTCACACAATTGTTTCACAACATATCTGTCTTAATTTAATCATTTTTTTTCTTCTGGTTCATGAATTCAGAACTATGATTAAGAACCATTCTCATTTTATGTGTATTTTTTATAAAAAAAATACTATAACGAACCATAAATCATAATTCAAATTATGGTACGAATCTCCGTTCTAAACACAGTATAAATATACCCTGTAAATTTCATGAATATTTCAGACCTAACAAGTCAAAAGAACCTTCATAACGTTCTTTTCTTCTCAGACTCCCAAGTTCCCTCTCTACTTCTTCAACATTCATTCTCTTTCTCTACCCATCTCTACCCCCCTGTACCGAAGCGCCGCCCACCGGCCTCCGTCACGCCTCCCCCGCCGGCCGCCGCCACATCTGTACCTCCCAGAGGCCGAGTTTTAGTTCAAGTGAGTGGTTTTTTCTTTTTTCTTTTCAAATGAGATTTGTTTAAATGTCAATGATTTTTCAAGTTTTTATACAATTTCATTGTAGTTTTTTCACTAAATTTCCCTAAATTGCATTCACTTCCCTTTTTTTTTTTCCCCGGAAAGAGGATGAGGAAATTTCCATATGCTTAGTCTTGATGCTTACGACTATAAGTGGTGTGCTGCATTGAGAGATAATAATAATGATTATTTTTCTCTTGTAACTTGGTTCTCGAAATGCTTGATAATGGATTGTGATTCTCTCTCCCTCTAGTCTTCCTCTTCGTGGAATCATAGCCGAGCTTTCCAGTTTTCGACTGAGTAGAAGGCCAATTTCTGCAGCGAAAACTCTTAGAGCGACGAGAACTGTTGTAGTGATGTTCAAATTTTACCCTTAATCCGCCAGGCACCGTATCTTTACGGGATGGAAAGCGAGGAGGCTGAGAAAATTTTCACCATTTTCAAGGAATTCATGGCAAGGTACACTAAATTTTGCATTTATCTCTTTGTTTGGGTCTTTTTTTTTCAGATTAAAAAATGATAATTTGATGGTAGGGTTACAGAGTTTGACGAATTAGTGGATTTTGGAAGCAGATTACTTGTTGGATTTCATCAAGGATTGGGTAGGTTCAAAACTATTATTGTTATTGTTATTATTATTTTTATATGCATCAATTAATAATTGAATTTGGATGATGATTTTTACTGTCTTTTTTTTTATGTAGAATTTCTTCGAAAATCGCCCATAGACAAAACGTCAGAGTTGGTTAAAAACATAATTAGCGCTAACGAAACAAAGAGGCTTCGGTCATACCTTGTTGCTGGATGCATAAAGACTCATGATGGCGAGCAAAACATAAGCAAGTGTAAGTTTAATTTAAGCAAGTGTAAGTTTAAATTTTGATATTCGGGTATGTAGGAAAATCACTCTATGATGCAATGCTATTTTTTGTGATGAATTCGACATATGTGTGTACTTCGTGTCAACTTTGACTTCAAGAAATAATATAGCATACGCCAAATTTTAGTTTTGCTTAATAATTACAATATGGTCATCTTTAAATTATTTAAAAATAAAATTTACTTTTACAAGTTTTAAAGCTTGAGTTATGATAGATATACATTTGATATAGTACTATGCATTGGAGGACAAAAAAGAATAACATATCAATAATCAGATATGTCATTTTCACACTTTTTTATTCTAAGTTATGCTCTCAACTAATGTTAAAGGCTTGTTTGGGTCATGGTTCAAATAAGTGGTTTTGATTCAGCATTCAAATTTTGTGAGAGAATCCATTGGCATTAACTTTTTAAATTCAAATTTTTTTGTGAAAACACTGTAGCAAATTTAAAAACATGGGTTTGTACCCATGAACCAAAAGGGGCCTAGAGTCTGAGAGTTTAGAGTTTAGAAATGGTGGTGCAGTCTTTACTGTTATGGCCTTATCTGCTCGTAGTTAAATGTTTTTGTTTTTCATCTGCTGTTCTGAAGTTATTACAGTTTTCTATTGTGTCTTTACTCTCCATTTTTGCTATTTTGGATAATTTGCTCATTTAACGGCACTTTGCTTATTTTATTGGGAAAATTTGCATGCAGAAGTGAATACATGCCATGTTGGACTTAACGACTATTTGACTAAAGGTAACATCGCTTTAAATTTAGTTTAGTATTTCATCTTCTGTCACCAAGAAATCACGTGATAGAAAAACAATCAAAGTATTGAGTGTACAGTAAAGTCAACTCGGTTTCTTTTTCTGTTCTTTGCTTGTGTGTTTGCTGCTAGTATTTCTTGTTCATGGCACATTTCAGTGTCTGCTTTGACTTACGCAGTACGCCAGATGCTTCATTGAAAATATTAACCCATAAGAAATCTAGTTTATTAGTATTTAGGACTATGATTTATTCTATAATTGTAGTGCTGTGACAATTGTATAAGAATTCAAAATGCCTGAGTGTTGAATTTTTATACCCTCGTGATATGTTGCTTTCCTTCCTCTTTTAGTTGGACACTTACAATTCTAAAACCCGAATAATAGGTTGCATCTTACCTGATAAATATTCTTCATCCTTACTCTTCTGTGGCCTGGTACTTTGGAATTGATATTTGAGCATGTTATGGTAAGTACAGGCAAAAGCATGCTTAATCAACTGGAATCCCTATTGGAGGATGTAATTAGCACATTGCAGACTGCAGGACGAAATTCGCCACCCTTTTTGGACAAAATTTTTGCTGATAGGACCAAAGAAGGACAAACTACAGACGATGAGGTAGTCTTTTTCTTCCCTCTTTGTTTGAGGGCCTAATGAATATTTTGATATTGTTAGTAAAATCGACATTACTTTTCTATCAGTCTTATTAAATTAATATTTCACTCACGCTGCAAGTATAAACTTATTTATATTTTTTACTACTTGATATACATATATTACCAAATTTGGTTTTTCTGACATTTTTATCGTCCTTTTTCTTATCTATTATTGATTTTCTTATCAATTGGGAGCTTTGGTTTAATGGTCAATTATTTTTTCTATAAAAAATAAAAAATAAACTTTCTGATCTCAAAATTCAGAACAGACTAGGAATTATTATTATCATGAAGTAGACACTTGAATACGGACATTAACGTTGTCATCCTTTTTGTCTTTAGGAGGAAATTCCATCATCTGATTCTGAAAAAGTTGAAGTTACTGATTTTGGTTTATTGATGGGGATCATCTACAGTATGGTTAAGCAAGACTACAAGATGCAGGTAGTCTAACTAATCGTAGACTTTATTTCCTCCTCTTTCTTAGAGTTGCGAATTAATGCTATGTTCAGAATTTGTTGCCTGTTTAGAGTTTTGGCATGATTAAATTGTTGCAGGAAAGGATTGTTTCAGCTTTAAATCTGGAATCATCTTCGGGAGAACTAGAGACTTACCGTCTTATGTGGTCTTTGCGTCCTTTTGTAAATGATGATATCATGCACCAAGCCTGGAAACTTATTCCCTGAATTTCTGTGATGCGTGTTTGAGTGCTGATATTCATTGGCTAAAAGATTGTCATCTCAAACTGATCAATTTCTGAAGAGTCATTTAACCAAAATGCAGTATGTTTATTTTACTGAAAGAGGCAATGAGACAAATAAAACTTTTACTAGTAAGCATGAGTACTTTATGCTTTAAATGAATCAATATGCTGTCCATAAATACACGCATGTGGGAAGGTGGACACAATTCATTATGCAGAGTACTTTATTTTCGGGTTTTGATCTAGTTTGATCTTAAATTCACTCCCTAATATGAAATGAGAAATTATTTTACTGTCCTAAGTGAGTTATTATTATTAGTTTATTATTTATTTATTTATTCTTAAAGTCACAAAAGTGAGATGGTTCTTGTTATTTTCTCAGTGATTAGAATAGTGATGTATTTTATTAGTCCTAATTTCATTACTTGTTATAGTATTTATAAGGATTTTGTTACGGTATGATATACCTGGTTCTTCTTCTTTCCACACGTGAATAAGCATTTGTTCAAGTATACATATTTTTGTTGCTATTGTTGAAACCGATTTCCACTTTTTAAATCCTGCAATAATTTTGAACAGGGTTTTGCAATATTAGTTAAAAGTGAATTGCTTTGCTGTATTTTCTGCTATTGTTTCCGTGATCAAATTAAATTATACCTCTTAAGTGTAAACACAAATGCATAGATCTTTCTTTTGTGGTCTCGGAAATCATTTAAGAAGTCTATTATGTTATTAGTAAAGCCATTTAAACTTAAAAGGATAATCGCAAAATAGTACATTGCTCTTTGTTTTAGTCCTGTCCTTGCCTATTTGCTTAGACTAATGCGCCATTGATAAATCCTTCCTTTGTCTGGAAAACTTTCCCTTTCTGCAACAATTTGCAGCTCAAAATATTTGGCTAATTACTGCAACTGTCTTTTTCTTCATAATACTCTAAAAGCTTGGTTTACATTTGATGGGTATCGTGTTGTATTAATAAAAAAGAGCTCAACATACCCAAGACTATTTTGTTTGGTGTCAATTTTGATGGGTGGACTTTCATTAAGAGGTTGTAAGTTCGATCCCGTATTCTAAAAAAAAAAAAAAAAAAAGTAAATCATGATTTTCTTTAAAGAAAGAGAAATCAAAATATGTCCTTCTTTTGGTTATGGTTTTCTGTCATCATTATCCGGCATCGTCCACACTATTTTCTGTATAGCTTTTGCATTTTGTTAGTTTTGATCAGTTGTTGGTCTGACTGCATTTGGCTTATTGCATTGGAAATCTTTCTTTCTGCACAGAATTTCTTACAACCGAATTTGGGTACGGTGACTATATGTAAGCAAAGGCAGCACCTTAATTTACAACATTTACCTATATAGTTTTGAAGTCACTGTTTGAGGAAAAAGGTTAAATGGAGAAAAATTTGAACATAAAAGACCATAATATCCTCAGCCAAAACATGGTGTTCATTCATCCCTATTTTACCAAACTAGCCGGTGAACAATTTTTCGCCAGCCCCCCAATTCACAAACTTAAAGAGCCAGAAAAACTTGTTACCAATTTTTCAGGACACTAAAAGGAACTCGCAATAAACTTCGACGGAGCCAAAGCTCATACATTACCATGTAAAAGGCGTCATAATCTCTAGGAGAAGGATGCCATAGAAAGTGTTTTCTCACCTTCAACACATTCCTTTGTAACCTTAAGTATTCATCAGAGCTGATACCTCTAAGGATTTTCTTGAGCAAAGGGATGTCTTGAGTGGCAACGACGACCGAGAAGCTCTTCCAGTTTAATATGTCGATGAATGGTAGGTCATAATAGTTGGCCAATATTACCGGAACGCAACCATAGTACAATGAGTCCGCGATACGAGCTGTGTTTACTTCAAAGCCTTTAGCATGGAGGCAAAACTTGCTCCCGAGGAGCTCATCAGCATAAGGTGTTTTGAGCCGACCATGGTGGACAAAGATCTCAGAGTCATTTCTCCATACTTGAACAAGCTGCTTGCGTACCGGGGAATTCATTGCTCCCGCAAAGAATGCAAGTTTTGTCCTGCATTTCATTTTAGCATGAACATGAGATCAGGAAATGAGATGAGTTCCTGTTCATGTAGACAGATTATATAATAATGAAAAGTTATTGCTAAAATTATAATGGTGTTTCTGAATGCATTTAAAAATTGAGATTTAAAACGAAAAATTGCCATATCATGAAAGAAACTCACAGAAACATATAGGATGAGCCTGCTTTGAAGTACTATTAATAAAAACCTTTGGTAACTCAGAAAATGACATGAAGCCTACTTCCCAAGTTCTAGTTTAATATCCAAAAGAATTGCACCATCTTTCAATGAGCAAGGTTTTGAATTGCACAATCAGATCCTAAGACATTTTTCTTTTGTGGAGCGAGGCGTAAGCCTCATGTTGTTGTGAGGCTTACGCCTCAAGATAAGGTTTTTAATTAGGCTGTTTCATAGTAAATAGCATATTTTTAAAACGATAAATAAATAGCATATTTACTTATAAATATTTATTATTGGGCGTAAAAAATTTATTTAATGACAAATACAGTGTAAATAATTTATTTACACTGTACATGAAGAATGAGAGAAAACAGTAAAAAGAAGTTTTTGTAAGGAAATAGCATCTATTCATCTTTTAACAAGGACAACAAGCATAAGTTATTATGCAAAACTATTCAGCTTTAATCTGAGTAAAGAAAGAGATAGCACTCAAGTATGTGTCTCACCTATTTGATGAAAGAAGATTAGGAGGATCTCCTTCTCTTGGCCATATTTGTGGAAGACAGGCATCTTTGTGAGAAATGTAACTGCCTACAAAATAGCTTGAAGAGCATACAATTTGAATCGCATTAAGTTTGACTTCAGTTGCCTTTTCCATGGCTGACCGTCCAATGGAATGACAAGCGACGTAGAAGTGATCGGCCCCACCTGTCCGGTTCCAGTATGGGTACTTTCGGCGAACATTTGAAATGTAATCCCGAACAAACTCTGGTATACCTCCCACACTGACCCTAGGGTCATGACGCAACCTTGCAATTGAGAAGGGAAGAAAGAAAAGATCTGCCTTATTTGGATCCTCTGTGACAAATCGGCTTTTAGAAAGGGCCATCTTAAAGTAACCTTCGCTGGCATAATTGCCTCCGGGTTTAGAATCAACTGGCAAGAGGACATTTGCAAAAGGGTCATCTCGCCTATGAGGATAAACGTATATCTTAAAGCTTCTTTTCATTTCTTCGTAGTCTTCCTGAAAGATATGCCTATCATGGAACACTTCGTATTTATTGACATGCTCTGCTGAACCTTAAAACCAAGAGTGGAGTCTCAAGATACCATCATAAGTAAATAGAAGTTTACGCACATCATTGGCTCAAGTTTCAAAGAATACATATACATGGCTTCTTTCAGCAATTAAATTACCATATCTTTCCAAATTTCTTCATGGCTTCTGTTAAAATACAATTAAAAACAATGATAATAATTTCCCTACGGTAAACAGTAAGCTCGCAAAATCTTGATCAAATTTGACTCTGTACTGAACCAAGTATCGGATATAATATGCTCACTGGATCTCTCACCCCTACAAATTCCAGCTAGATGCTGATATCAACAGGTTGAATTATGAAATAAAGATAGCTTATTCCACGCAAGATCACGAATACCAAATTTTCAAAGACACGATATTTAAGTACTAAAAAAGAAATAGTTCTGTAAATTAGAGAAAATACTACCACGATAGCTACTTCTGGAGTAGGCATAGGGCTGCATAGACTGCAGCGGCTTTATGAGCTTCGGTGGTTTCTCGTTCCTAATAGTATAGGGCTGCATAGACTGCGGCGGCTTTATGAGCTTCGGTGGTTTCTCATTCCTAATAGTCTGTCATATTGTAAACTAAGTAACCAATTAGATGACCTAAAACAGAGACAAACAATACTTGCATATACCAAAAAAATGTGGAATTCCTACATGTCTCCTTGAAATGGAAACAAAATGATCTTCCGATCCAGCCATTGAATCATACTGCACCAGCTCAACGGGTGAAAACCTCGCAATAAAGAGGTGCACAAGCAAAGATACAAAAGATAGGATGACAACAATGAGAACAATCCATTTCCTCGTTGATTTGAATGCCATCTCGACTTGCTAAACAGGAAGAATCCAGATTTTGTCACATTCTAGTTGCGGTTTTAAGTCGAATGTATAAGCGGGACCTCTGCATCAAGAATAAAAGATTAGCAATCAAAACTAACACTGTTATTGAAAACTCAAGAGATGTTTTCTGTGATCAAACCAATAGATGTTTTCTGAAAGAAAACTCAACAATTTATATTAGAAAGTATTCAGATCCATTAGATGGAAACATTTGATGATCCTCGTGGTTGCTAAATCTCTAGAAAACAGTTCAACTTATACAAGGATATAACAGTTCAATCCTAAAGCATCTTTAAATACCGTGAACAAGCCTCATGGGGCACTGATAGCGTGCGGATCAAACGGAAAACCAACAACATGATATATCGTCACATAGACATGTCAACAAACAATTTCTATGCTACATTTTGTTCATCATTAGTAAATTGTTTCGAAGTCAACGGGGTGATTTTGTTTATTTCTTCTCTTATCACATAAATAACTTCATCAAGAAAACACATTTATAATCCAGCTAGTCCTGCAAAAACGTAAAGCATCCCTAATATCTTTTATTTTTATTTAATTCTATTTGTATGTTGAAAAACTAGCAAAACAAAATTCAGAATCAAACCAGACCGTCAAAAATTTCTAAGCAACCCAAGTAACCCAAAAGTTAACTTTGAACTCTCAAGAAATATATGAACTGGAAAGTTGCCAAAAACATTGTAAAACATTTAAAATCTACCAAAGAAACCTCAAATGGTTAAAAGTTAGATGTTAAAAAAAAAAAGAAAAGAAATTCAAAAGAACTAGAGTGAAATACCCGTCTGTTGAGATCAAACAAGAAACCCAATGAATAAAATATTATCACAAGAATATTCCTACATTCCAAGAACTAAAACTCAGATGGGGACTTTGGAGCTTACCCGGAAAACCAAGGGCAGATTGAGGAAATACTGGCATTTTCCAAGCAGGGAACGTGTTGCATTTTGTTTCTCTGATTTGCTCCAACTATATTAAAATGTTCATTTCATTTTCATGCTTCACGAATGATTCCTTCTTACTATGCACAGTTACTAAAATACCACCCCTTCTTCCTAAAATCTGGAGGGCATTTAGGTCTTTTAAGTATAACCTCAAATTTTAAAATTTTTTTTTTTTTTTTTTTTTTTTTTTTTTTTTTTTGTATTTGACACTCTTTTCCTTCCTAATAAACTTTCCACGATTTGAAGATTTGTCTTAATTTAATGACGTATAAAATTTGGATAAAAACACCCAAATACACGCTATGCGAGCTCATTTGAAGGCATATTGAAATTTTGGATATATTGCGACAAAATGCCTTAATTATGTCACGTCTTCAAAACTGACTTTTCAAAATTAGAAAATTAAAGGGTCAACTTGCTTATAAACTGTATTTTCTAATTTACCTTCTAATAGATTAAATCCATTAGATAATCTTATCAAGTCCAAGTCCTGCATAATTGTTACATCTCTCTAGAATCAAATTTCTTCTATTACTTGATAAAACATAAGCATCGCTTGCACACTAATAGAAAATTCTTTCTTAAGTTTGGCCATCATAAGCACTAAAATTTAGAAAATTACTCTTTTAAGTTATAGAAGTTACGTATCAAAAAAAGCGACAAATTTCATCCTATTTACCATAACATATTTTTATATTTACCTAACTCGGTTTGTAAATGATATAAAGATACACAACAGTACAATAATGTCTTTATCAGAGAATACTTCAAACAGACTTTCATGCGTACACACAAACTAATAGAATTCAATATATATACATATATGTATAAATAAGGATCGCGTTTGGTGATCTTTAATGACTTTGGTAATAGTACTTTTATAACCACCATTTATCAACAAAAAGAATTCTGCCATATTGAAACATCCAAAACGATACTTCAAGAGTGACAGGTGGCCAAACGGGCTACCCATAATTTAATTAAAAAAAATACTTTTATTGTATTATATTTGTAAAAAGGGTTAATCTCACTAACTTTATGATTATTCTGAGTTTACCCGTTAAATTTTAAAAGCTCTCATTTTGCTTGTTAAATTTTGATTTAGTTCCACTTAATCTTTTTATTAGAATTTTTTTTTTTTTAAATCAAACAGAGAGAAAGAGAGAAGATTAAGTATAATTACGTGGATTTTTTTTTTCCAATTTGTTATAATTTATCATCATAGACATTACCATAACAATTAAATGGATCTTTACTTTATCATATGTGTGTATACATACATACATACATATATATTTTATTGAAACACATAAAGTGAAATATACACACACATATATTATATATTTTATTGAAACACATAAAGTGAAATATACAAAATTCGCGGACAGATCAACCCCAAAAATGGATCTCATTTGTTGATTCTATTTAGATCATTGTTGACGAGAGCAGAATTTGTGGGCCGTATGTGTTGATGTATGATGTATTGCACTGTCAGCGGCCTATAAATTGCTACAGCACAACATATCAAAAAAAAAAAAAAAAAAAAGGAGCTGCACATATGCATGTTCTCGAGGACTGGGAACAATGATAAAGAAATGTTGTTCAACGCCATGTGAAAATGAAAATGTTTGCGCACTTTGAGTATGTTGTTTCTCAACGTCTCGTACTCATCGGATTTTCTTCAGCAGCGGGATGTCGCAGGTGGAAACGATGACAGAGAATCCAGAAGAAAAGAATTTTGTCCAGAAGAAGAAAGGAAATAGTGGATTTTAGCTATTTTGAAGGTAAAAATTGACAGTGAGCTAAGAATTTTGTACTTCTTTTATAGAAAAGAAAATTTTTCAGAAAATAAAGTGAATGATGGAGGCCAAACCTTGGTGCTCTGATGGAGGCCTGCACACTCAATCCCGATAGAGCAAGGCCATCAGGTGTCTTTCTAAGCTGACAAGAAGATGGTCTGAGAATGGAAAGACTTATCAGAGATGGTTTGTGCAAGTATGGCTAAGCAGTTGTCATGTTTTTTGTAACACAAAAGCTTGCTCCAAATGATGTTGCTTCAACAGGTGAGCTTGGCAAGAAGGAAGTTCAGAGGAGGCGCGCCTAACACGGAGAACAGCTCTGTTAGGCGTACCTCGGTGCAAGGAAGCGCTCCAACAGACATGCTTGACATGAAGAACGGCTCCGCTAGGCACATTTTGATGTGGACAAAGCCTCCATTGGAGTTAAAACAATGAGTTTCAAGCCTAGGCAAGTGGGAAAGGTTCTATGGCATGGACTTTGGTTTTTTAGGCTTCCAATAGGATGAAAGGAAGACCTTTGTGAATTCTCCATCACCCATTTATATTTAATTTGATTAGTTTTAAAAATCTCCTAAGCAGGATTCAAATCATATCGAATTAAATGATAAACGGGCCTATCTAATTACATATAGCTCACCAAATCACAACCCACAAAAGTTCTCCGAGCGTGAATCCAGTCCAAAAAACTAGCCGAATAACGTCACGAGATATGAAGATTTGGGCCTAGACCCTCGAATGGACCTGGTACGAGATCGGGTATCAACAACGCTGAGTCTTGGCTGCTCATATCAATTTATGGTGGCTACAACAGTCGACGCCTGTTTGATTTGCTTCCAAGGAGCTGATTGCTTAGGCCTTTGAGGCAAAATAGCAGATCTGAGGCCACTGATTTATCAATTTATGGCCTGCGTGTTCTGAAATTACACAAAATTGAGCGATTTGATGCTAGATCTAGTGTTGTTTGCTTTTCGTTACAGGTTGCCACTGATTTTTCATGAATGCTTTTCTAGTGGGCTGACAGGTGGTGGGCAGCAAGGGCGGAAGAGTGTTAGGGATTAGGGTTAGTGTTAGGGTTTGCTATTTAGGGGATTGTGGCTAATTGCTGGATTTATAATATCAAATATTTACGAGTAGATATGACATTTACTAGATTCAAGAGTAATAATAATTATGTTTTTATATGTAAATATTGCATTTACCAATTCAAGAAACATTAAGAACCGTCATAAATAAAATATTTATGGGTAACTACAACATTTATTATTGGTGATCGAATTTTAGATAAATACAATATTTATCATTCATCAATGCGGGAGATCATATATCCGTGTAAATACAGTATTTACAGTCTCTGGGCTGGCGCAGGCAGCCCAACTTCTAAGTAAATATGGTATTTTTAGGTAAAGATGATAATTCTGAATAAATATAGTATTTATCGGCAATCGGACTTTCAGGTAAATAGAGTATTTCTTAGTAAATACTTTATTTTTAAGTAAATATTATATTTAACATTATCAATACCGGCGACCGGACTTTTGGATCAATATGGTATTTACCAGTTGCTGACAAATTAATGACGCCAATGCTGGCCATGGTGGACATGACCAAAAGGGGGAAGCAGAGAGGGGTGGGAAAGGGTATTTTTGACTTTTTAATAATGTTTAAAACCCTAACATATTTAATTATACTATTTACTATATATTGCTCAAGTAATACTGTGAAAGAGTAAAAGATTGTTTCCTCAGAGACTAGTTTGACAATTACTGAAATTATAATTTTCCCAATTTATTTAGGCCAAAAATAATTAATGACAAATTACTAAAGAAAATAAATTGTCAAAATTAATCAAAATAAATGTGCAATTTAAGTTAAAGGAAATTCAATAATAAGCAAGCACTAGAGCATATAAGTTTCACCAAGACAATTCCAATTTAATTCCAGTTACTTGCTAACATCATCTACATGCATGCAGTAGAATGAAAAACCTTAATTTGTCAAATAGTCCTTCACAGGATGCTATCAAATATATTTTTAACATGTAAATTCACTATTGCTCGATGTGAACTCTAATACCCTAGAAACTCATTACACTCTCTGGTTTTGCCAAATAACTCTCGCAAGTTGTATTACTATAGCTCGATGTCATACACACTTTACTGTTTCTTTTAAGAGCAGTTATTCCTAAAAATCTCCTTCTTGGATTTCAAATTAGGCCTTCAATTCAATTCAATAATTGAATAGATCATTGAAAGCATTGAGAATAATAAAAGAAATACATACATGAATAAAAAACTCTTAGTGAATAAACTTCAATGAAAGGAAATAACTGAAATCAAATATTCATTGTCTTGGCTACGTACACTTGTAGCCCTAATCAAGAATTTAGAACATAATTGAAATTAAAAATATGCTAATAATAAAAATTCAACATAAGAAATTTAAGAAAGCAGAAAACTGTTTGTCGAATTCGAAATCGAACTTTGTTCCCGAATGAATCTTCTTCTCCTTCGTCATAACGTAGACTCTCCCCTCTTTTCTCAGCCAAAAGATAAATAAAATAACCCTAAAAATCCTATTTATAGTCTTTGGAGTCGTAATGGCAATTTCATAAATTTCTAGATATCAAAACTGCTCAAATTAGTATCTCCAGCATGAACCGGCCCGCGACTTTGCTTAATGAGCACCGCGGTGTTGAGTAAGAAATCTCAAATGGGGGCGCTGGTTTTCGAAGTAGCATCACGGCGCTGCATCTTTTGGCGCCATGGCGCTACTGTGTGGGTGCCAAGGCTCTCTAGTCTCAGGTTTTTGTAATGAAAATGACTCCTTTCAGTGCCTAGCGCTACTTTTCAAGGCCATGGCACTCCATCTTCCATTTAGCTCCAATAAAGCTTCAAGAACTTGCCCATGAACTCCAAATTATGCTCACCTACAAAACAAACTAAAAATACGTAAATAACTCCTTAAAACTCTCTAAAACTAAAAAAAATATTCAACTGGAAGCAATAAATTATAAACGTAAATTCAACATATCATGTATTCTAAAAAAAATTATGCTATAATTTACTAAGAAACCTATTAATTATGCTTTTTCACTCTATCTCCCTAAATAATTCCATCTAAATCTCATTACTTGTTAACAACTAAAGTCGATGAAATAATAACACCATAAAAATTATTGGGATGAAATTGCCAAGAAACATGTTCGAAGAATTAAAGGGCCTATTTGGTAGCGGTCTTAAAATAATTTTATTTTTGTATGAGTCTATCGCTCAATCATTGTTCCTTTCAACCATATTCACTTTGGAGATCACAACAACAACAACAATTTTCACTACAAAAAAATTGACATTTAACGTCTCTAATTAAATGACGGTTTTACAACCGTCGTTAAATGTGAAATCTAACTGCCAAAATTATCATTTTGGGAAGATCTTAGACGACAATTTTGTATATAAACCGTCGTCTAATGTTCTATTTAACGACGGATAAAAACCGTCGTTATATCGTACAACAATTTAATGACTCTCGATTAGCTGACGATTTTCCTAACCATGGTCTAATCTTTTAACGACGGTTATTAACGGTCATTAAATCCTAAATTTCTACCAGTGTTCATCTCCCTCAGTCAAATTGGCTGTCGGAGGATTCTCATCTCCCTTCTTGTGTTTGTAACGATATTGAGTAGCATGATGTACAGGCATTCCACAGACAAAGCAGTTTCCTTTCTTTTTAAAGGATTGATTTTTGTCATTAAATTTGTTCTTATTGTTGGGTTATAGTACATTTCATTTTTATTTTTACTTTTAGGTCTACTTGTATTGCTCTCTACCACATTAGCCTTGGAACTCAATTCTTTGGTTTTCTCAGCTCTATCTCTGAGTCTATTCTTTTCCTCAATAGAGATGTGAACAATCACACCCTCAAGGCTCAAATGCCTTCTTTTATGTTTCATACTGTTCTTATAATCTTTCTATGAATTTGACAATTTTTCAACCAAGCAACCAACCACAAATGCTTCAGGCAAAATAATTTCTTCATTTTTCTAATCATTCAAAAGCATGTGGTATTCATGAATTCGTGCAGAGATATCTTTTTCATCAGACATTTGAAAATGCAAAACTTTGCTAATGACATACTTTTGTGAACCAACATCTTCAATAACATATATAGGCTTTGAACCTCTAGCTAGCAAGAGTAGGATGAAGAAATCTTGAGAACGTTTTTACAATTATCAAGAGGCTCTAAAATAAATAAGGGGTCAAATCATTTTGATATCATGTGTTATAATAAAATATGCTTTTGGTACGAGAATTTGGCTAAAATAATCAAGTGAAAAAGTAAAATTAAGATCGTCACAATAACTAAGTGAAAAAGTAAAATTAAGAAAATTACTTTTTAATTTTAATTTTATTTATTTCCAGAGAAAGTTCACCGCCGGAATCAATGGCACTCTTGCAAAATCAAACACCAAGATTTCAACTCTAATCTGGTGCCAAATCACAGATTGGAGAATAAGATTTCAACTCTTATTGCTCCATTTTTTTAACGGTAGATCATTAAAGGAAAAAAAAAAAGAGGGATTAACTCGCCGGAATTATGCGTCGGAGATACCAGGGGCGGTGACGACTTGGACGAGCTGGGAAAGTTGATTCGGGAGCGTAATAGAGTGAGTGAGGGTTGGCAAAGGGCTCTGGAGGGAGAGTGGAGAGGAGAGAGATTGTCATATTTTAAAAGAAAGTCATTTTGCAAATAAAAATTTTTGAATTGTCATTTTATGAATAAAGCTTTTCTATTAGATTATTTTTACAAAGAGGTCTTTTGGTACCCTATTTCTTTTATAATATTAAAGTGGTATCTTGACGTTTTTAAAAACATCTTTTTGGCACCCTAAAGCTAATTTTTGGATGTAAAATGACCTTAGTATCATTTTATTTAATTAATAAAAAACTAATAGATTTAGGAAAAAAGTCATGAACCTTTTTATTTTATTTTTTCTTTTAAATATTTTAATGTTTTAAAATATTTTAAGATTTTTTTTTAAAAAAAAATTATGATTTCTATTAAGAAAGATAGTTTGAACATTATATATCCTAAAAATTAGCTTCAGTATTATCAAGAGGCTCTAAAATAAATAAGGGGTAAAATCATTTTGTAAATAAAGTGTATTAGAGTTTGCGATTGGCTTTCAAGATATATGAAAGGTGGTCACAAAGAAAGCCTCAAACTCTTTCTCGGCAAGGTGAAGTTGCATGAAAGTTGTCTCTAGACTTGCTTTTGTAAGTGAAATAAGATAAGCCTTATAAGTCAAGGAATAAAAAAGTTTTGTGAAAACTTTGTAGCTTGCATACATATTTATGAACGACACTACAATTAATAAAGCCAAGAAGCAACCAACAATATGCCCATTAGCCGTGCATCATTAGTGCATGAGCTTAATTATTTCAAGCTTCATGAAAACTTCGTGAAAGACTTAAACGTGCCTCAAACTTTGATGGACTAAACATATTTTTGCTGAAGAAAAATAAAAGAAACAAGTGTCCTAATGGCTCCACAAATATTTGAAATATTTAATTCAACAATTGAAAATACAACACCAATTGCAGCATTAATTGTTAGTTTTTGGAGTTGAAGTTGAACTGCAATATTGACATGTTCTAATAACTATAAGTTATGTGCTTGACAGATTTTTTATGATTTTCTAAGAATGATCCCAGCAAGAGTTACAAGAAACGTTATGATCAGTGACATAATTTAATTAATTAGACATCAATTAAAACATCAAAATTAGATAACAAATTTGAGTGCCCATTGGCCACATTTCTTTCAAAACCCTCAGCCCCACTAGATGTTTCACTCAGAACCGCACAAATCTCGTGGAGATGATAACCACATTTCAGGTCTGGTTGGGTCAAAGAATTTTGCCAGAAAACTTTAATTGGGGGACCAGTCTGACCTTATTAATCGTTTCCCAATCTGTGGGTTTTCAGGTTGGACATGGTCAGTCATATTCTCATAAGAGTCGAGCTGTACCGGCGATCGCTTCTATGTTTCGAATCATGCGGCTCTAGTTGATAGTTTTAATTAAATCCCATTTTATTGTAGTGAAAATAAAGAGACATAGATAAAATTTTTTTAGGTTTGTATAAAAAAAAAAAAAAAAAAAAAAAAAAAAAAAAAAAAAAAAAAAAGCAATTAATCTGGACAAAAGAGTAATAATATTATTAACAATATAAAATATACTTTACTCGATAGAGGTGCACAACACATTAATATTATTTTATTTTAGACAACTTAGACATAGACATAGATCATATCACAATTACCAAGTAGACCATTTCTCATCAGGAAATATATTTCTTAATTATTACACACAAGCAAAAACTAGATTATTTGGGTCCAATCCAAGCTTATTAATTGTTAAACTAATCATTTATTGTAATTACGGGTAAACTTCGATGAGAGATCGTAAACCCAAAATAGGAATTATTTTATAATCACTGAAACCTGAATCTTGGAAAAGCTTAGCCCATTCCTTCTCATTCCTCTCTTGGCCAGTGGCCAACACCATCATCATCATATCAAAGAAGAGTTGAGTTTCATACGACTTGTCGTCTTCATCCTTGTTCTCTATCATGATGTCAATTATAATCACTTTCCCTTTCTTGCTTCCTTTGCTTGTGATTGCCTCTTTGCATTTCTTAAGTATTTTCACACATTCGTCGTCACTCCAATCATGCAATATCCACTGTTTAATTTGACACGAGTAAAGCAATGATCATATCCTCTAAATTAAATATTTCAACTTGCAACCAAACATATATTAAATTTTCATGAAATTATTATTAGTTCCATCCAATTGCCCACCCAATATAGACATGGTGGCTGAGTAGTCAACATCATGAATAATAAATTAATAAAAAAATGAATTGGTGATCAGTTATTTGGTGTCACACCCAATATGTAAAATAAAAAAAATAATAAAAAGAAGGGATAAATCTTTGTACACAGAGAAAGTGGATCTTATTAGATCTAGGTCATATCTATCCATCTAATAATGCCATCAATTATGTAGGAGTGCCCATTCTCAAATTATCAAATTCTGGCTTCATCAATAAATGCTGCAATTTTGTTACCAAACTGTTGTGTATCCCAACCAATAGAAGATTAAAAAGTCATGTCAACTGTCTACATAAAAGGATATTATAAATACTTACGACGGTAAAAACTGACTGAAGGTGATAGAAGAAGTAATCATATTCAAATAGAAAAGTATTTGATATTATTTCCCGATCTAATGTGATTCTTCTAAATCACATGATTCATGCCTGCTCTTTGTATATTTTGTACCCTCGAAATTAGTTTATTTAAGTTGCAGTTTTGATTAATAAGGGATTAATCATTAAGCCTTGTGATTAAACAATTTGAAATGATGCTCCTTTATCTACACATGATACCAATCATAATTAAAATAATGCATCATGGCCAGAGAAAGCAAATAAAAATAAAGGTAACGACTTATATATATTTGAGTGTACACTTGTACACTAGATTGAGTTGGATCGGTTTACTGGATTTTCATATTCAAAAACCGAAAATAATCAAATTCAAGTGGATTTTTAGTTTTCCAATCAAATCAAATGAGAATTGAATATTTAAACCTCGTTCATTTCACCGATTTGAGTTTTCAGTTCTAGATTTTTAAAGTTAAAATTTTTTAAAAAATGTCACATTTAACTTTTTTTACTACAATTAAAAACTTTTAAAAAATGTCACATCTAAGCTCAAATTAAAAACTCAAATCTGCGAAGCGAACAAGACCTTAATTAGATTAGATTGGATCGATCCATTTTATATCCAATATTCAAATTGAATAATTTGCTTACCTTAAGATGCAATGTGTGTGTAAATATAGAATATAAATTTGACATACTTGAAAGTTAAACGAAGGTATCTAGATGGAAATATATCTCCACGTGTCTCTATAACATTAAAGCTCAAAGATCCCCCAAATTAAAATGCAAAAGAAATGTATTGGCGTCAATAATATTGTTATGTATGAACAATTATAACACAACATTGGCATTTAGGGATTTAACTAGTGAGGCAATATTCTACACAAGGAAAAAATATTAGGAAATAAACCCATTACTAAATTAGAAAAAAAAAAGCTAATATAATATACGTTTTTCTTTCCCATAAATCCTGGTATTAAAAGTTAGAAAATGTTTTTAACGGGCCATTCTAAATGCACGCGCGAGGTGCGTGCTTATAACTTGTTTTTAAAGAAGCCAAGAAAGATGGGATATAATACGAATTTCTAATTCCCTGATTTTTTTATGGTAATACAAATATTGACTCGTGTCCTCAATTTTACCCTGGCATAGTATATGAAAATATAAAATTTCTTCTAACATTTAGTTGTATTTATTTATTACTAAGCTAGTAATTGAGCTTAGTAGAAAAGGAAAAAAGTTTAGTAGAGCACATTTAAAACGAAAAATATATCACATAGTAAATTTTTTATTGGTATATAAAATGAATTATATTAGATATGGTAAAGTGGGAAAGAAAAGACATGAAAGTATTTTATAAGAAGATTAAATTACAAAAGAACACAAGATTAAAAAACACTAAAGAAAAAAATAAAAATAGAAATAAGAAAAAGTAAAAATAAACAAAAGAAAGATTAGAAATAAGAAAATGTAAAAAAATAAAAACAAAAGAGAGAAATGAGAGGTTGATATGTGGCAAAAGAATGAGCAATATCTTTGCTTCTTTTATGTATGTTAGATTTATGAGACATAGAACTTCATGGCCTACTTATAACATTTATTTAGGTGGATCGTCTTTTAGTCAATCAGTTATAGACCGCGATCAATTAATGATACATTGAGGTCAATCATTTATAGACCACGGTTAATCATTGATCGATAGATTGAAATCAATCGATAATAAACTGATTGAATTAATAAGTTACAGATCAATCAGGGATAGCTAATAGGGGAAAAAAATAAAAGAAGGAATCATGAGATTGGATTTACCTTGAGCAAAATGGCATCTGCAGGAGGAACTTGTTGAAACATGTCCCCGCCAACAAATTTCAAGTTGTCTTTCCCTTGTAAATCTCCAACAACATGTGGTAAATCAAAGACAGTGCACTCCATTTTTGGAAATGTTGCTGCAATGGCCTTGGCCACCGTACCCGTTCCTCCTCCCACGTCTACAAAGGACTCCAGTTCATCGAACACCCACTTACAGTTTTCGATCACGACACTGATGACCAACCTAGCATCACTAGCCATGGCATCATTGAAGAAGTTTGCCATCTTTGGCTCCTGGCCCCCGTACTTCCAAAAGGGCAACCCGTTCACGGTGTCAAATGCCGTCGGGTCATCATTTTGGAACCAAGTGCTCAGAAAATCCCACGGTTTGGTCAAGACAGGATCAAGCATAGCCAGCAAGAAAGGTGCGACACTTAAGGGATTATCCCCAACAAGCAATTTGGAAGCATCAGTAAGAACATAACCCTCCTCTTCTTGGTGATCACTTTCTCCAATTGTTTGGAGAGAAAAGAAGCCCGAGTGGACTAAGATGCGCATAAGGCGGTAGACGTAAGGTGCTTTGTTTTGGTGGACTGGCAATGCGCCTATTAGTTTGGAAAGAGTCATGGGTTTGCCATGTTTATGGATGGTATCTGGTATGCCCAATTGAACAGCACATTTTAGAGACATGGAGTTTATGAAGTTGAAAATGTTGTTCCATATGTGGGCTTGAGCGCCAAGTAGCTCAGTTGCCTTCTCTTCATTGATCTGTAAATCTGTATCAAGATTTCTAAAGCTTCTTAGTCGTTTCTCCATTGTTAATCTGAAAGGGTTTACAATATACTGCATATTAGTAAAGCTCCGATTATATATAGGGCAATATAATGATATTGCATGCATTTTAGTTGTATATCCTAATTCAATATTTGGTGGGGTAGGATCATATCTTTGTCTAAAAGAATCATTTATTCCATTCAAAAGAAAAAAACAAAAAAAGAATCATATACTAAAAGCAATGATGACACTTTTTTTTCCATTTTTATTTTTTTAACTTTGCACATATTGGGTTCGTTAGGACATCACTTTCACTTTACATCCAACAATCAGATTTTCTTGATATGCTTGTGAGGTAATATATTGAAACTACGTACAAATTTATATCCATTCCTCACCATTTTGTGACTACGTAAAAACGATGAAAGGAAAGGTTCAAATTAATTATATTTGCCCTTATTCAGAAAACAAATTAATGAGAATAACCTTGGCAATACCAACTTCTTCTATTGAACACTATAAATAACATTTATAAGGGGTTCTTTACGTTAGCAACACCAAATTAATTATGCAAGGACGCTTCTTCTATAAAATTAATAAGTAGTTGTTTAACTCAGTTGTTGTTTTGTTATCATCATTTTATAGGTAGCAACTTAATTAATGTATTAAGAAGACTTTAAATATTTTAATAATTAAATTAGAGTTGAATTTACTTTTTAATTTAGAAATTTTCCCCTAATGAGGTTTCTTTTAAGTGGATTTAAGAATTTTTTGTCTAGATTAGAACGGTAAAATCCCGTTCCACCCATTTTACTGCGTCAGTTGGTATCAGAGCCCTCGGTTCTTTCTCGAGGAGGTAAAGTAGTCATGATCGATGATTGGAACTGCTACGTTATCGAAGAACACGGAGCGCAGGCCTTATCAGCGGATCAAGAGCACCGTTATGGAGCTGGAGATTCATTCGACCGGAGTTACGGAGTTCGACGGTGGAGTGCCCACCAACGGCCCCGTTCTCCACCACATCACCACCACCGCCACCTCCATCACCCAAAGCACCACCACCACGACCATTCTCCACCACTTCCCCGCCACCATCATCAACCAAACTACAACCATGACCGTTAAAATCACCATCGCCACCGTTATCAAGACCATTACCACCACCACCTTCAACACAATCCATATTACCATCACACCCAACACTCAGATCTGCTATTTTCCTACGATCTCTTCACCGGAACGACGACGATGAGGTGTTGGACTTCGTCGAACTCACGCGTTAATTCTACCAAATTTCGTCACAGTCGTAGACGTTCGCCTTCGCCCGTTACTTGTCAGAGGTTTGAGTTTGACAATGCAGATGAGTGGGAGTTCGATTATTTCAAGATTTGGGAGTCGAATACGGGCTACGAACTTCGTCGAGGAGGAAGGCAGCTCCGCCATGGCTACGCCGACCTCAACCATCCCTGTTCGAAGTTGGATTCGCGACCTGCGAGGACGCACGTCCGTCCGAGTTGAGACAAGGTTGAGAGACTTCGCGACTGAGGTCCTAGAGCGGGAGAAGGTGGAAGCGGTTAAATATTGACGACGAGAAAGTGCGGGCGGCAATCGTGGCCGAAGCAGATCCAACGGCGAGGTTTGGTATCTCGGCGAACATCGGCGCCCTCGATCTCACATCAACGGGGAGCCCAGCGCCTTACGAACCACGCAATCGTCCCCTATCCCTCTTCGCCGTCAAAATCCAGGCATTGTCGTCGGAATAGCTCAACAAGGCGGCGGCGTTGGCGTTCATACACACTGCAGCGGTGTTGTGAATACTCGCTTGAAGTCTTCGTCCCCACGAAGTGCAGAGCTCACTTCACTCCATGAAAAAGGAAAAGGGGCTCAAAGTTGGACTTTGTACTAACCTTGTATTATAGTTCCATTCAGGTTACCACATAAACAGCACCTTGTGCTATTATTTAAGTACAAACTACCATTTAAAAAAAAAAAATTTAAAAGTTCAAGTTGAACCTTGCATTACTCTTCACGATGAGTGCGATTACGATTCGATAAAGATTCAAAATTGAACCTTGTACGATTCTTTAAAGATTCACGACAGTCCGCCAACTCCTCCTGAAGAGCGGCTATAGCACGGTGAAGGCTAAAGATTATACTATTGGCCTTTTGAAGTTCTGAATCACGTTTAAACAGGCGAGTCTTCATATCCTTCAATTGAGTCTCCATATTTTTTTAATTCAGGAGGGGTTTCACAATAAGAACCACGATGAATGCGAGCCTTTTTTAGGGGAACTACCAACGTGGTGATCAGCAGGAGTGGACGTCACAGAAGAAGCCATGTTGGAATCCTGTGAAGCTACACAAAATCATTTCAAATGATAAAGGAACACATGATAGTACAAGTAGTAATTTATTTTTTTACACAGCGTACACATATTACTTTTACATGGTTAACAAAGGGGAAGAGGAAACTTCACAGGTAAGTAACCAAAAAAAAAAAATTTCTGGTACTATGTTTAATTTACAGAAGGTTAAAAAAGGGGGAGAAAAATATCGCAACATGTAGGTAAAAAATTCTCCTTTAGGTAAAAAATCCTGTTGATAAATTTTAGGCCAAAAAATCTTTCAATCTAATTTTGACTCAAATTCAAATTTTAATAAAAGTCAAAACTTAATTTAATTTGAATTCCAATTAGATAACTTATCAAATAAGTCAATCGGATAACTAAGAGAGCAAGCAACTGAATTCCAGAGGGATTATCACAGTGTTGTGCATGACCATCGGTAGACTCAATTAGAATTTTTATACTTAACGGAAATTATCAAAAATTCATATTGTGTATGTATCCCGGTTCCACACAATCTCATTATGCGTAATATACTCCTTCAATATCTCACCATATTAACAGTGCAGATAATACAATTTCATTCTAAATGGGAATGACATGTATTAGTAATGTTTTAACTTAAAATTCCAAACTTTAATTTAGTTTATTACGAACCTCGTTTTGATTATTATCCTTAAATATTATTCTCTTGTATATAACACTTATATATAATATTTAAAGTCACATAAATAATCATGAAATTTTTAATGAATTCATAAAATATTCAATAATATATGCACATAAAATAATAAATAAATTTTTTATTAAATAAATAATAAATATTATATTACATCTCATGCTTCTAGTACACCATTCTTAATAAGTTGAGCGTTCATGCTCTCCATTTCTTGAGCCATGTCATCATTTTGATGACGAAGAATGTGGTACTCGGAGTACCAAGCGTCGCGTGATTGCCTCACATTTTGAAGGTCACACTCCAAGGATGCGACATGCTTCTTAAGATTGTTAATAAACTGCAGAGGGTTAGGAGGAAGTGTCGCCAAGTCATCTTGAAGAAGATCGATGTCTATTGGTTCCATTGGTTGGTCCGGGGAAGGGTTACTATTTGTGGAAGGCATGATTGCAGAAGTTGTGGAATAAGGAGCTAGAAAATGGTCCAGTCTCCTGTTTATAGAATGGAGCATTGGTGGATGGAATCTTCCGAGTAAAAAAAAATAAAAATAAAAAAGTCTTCATTCTCTTTAGCACGCAGGGGGCTGAATGTTTTCAAGGAAAACTAATTGAGAGGGTGAAATCAGTAATGAGTGGGAAATATTTGAGGATGGACTGGTGTGATTTTAATCCAATAACGTTTAACCTAGTGAGAGAATAAGGTGACTAAGAATGGACCTTGTTCAAACAGTAAACCTTGTCTGAGCCTTGTACAAGGTTGTGCATCCTCTATTGTGAGCCTTGTGCATTCTTGTACAAGGTTCGCCTTCTTCAAACCAAACCAAACCAAATGAACATATTCCACACGATGTTCAAACGTCGTACAAGAAACCTTGTACAACCTTGTTAGCTCTGACGATCGTGCACAAGATGTCCAAGCAGGATACCCAACCCTGTTTTAGTTTAATCCTATTTCGGCCTTATACAAGAAAGTTGCTGATGTTAGCCAACCTTGCACGAGCCGCTCCTTCCTGGCCTATAAATAGGCACCTCACCAAGCCAAAACGGAACACCACACGACAGAGTACAACCACCTCTATTACTCAGTACAATTCTTATAATTCCTGCAAACAAGGTTCTCTTACCATTCTCACAATTACCTCCATTACTCAAAACTAGGAGTTGGATTCTTCCCTCAATCCATACTCAGATATTATCCTGCTTTCTATTTGTTTTCTTTGAGTGTGCTATTGTAATCAGTCAAGTTCGACGGTGCTGTTGTGGAATAAGATTTTTATTTTGTAATCCAACCTTTTACATTTTACCCTTTTTTTTATTATTTAAATGTTACCAACGAACTCAGAACAGTCATGAAGAACCAATGTGGTGATGACAATGATCATAGACATAGTGTCAGTCGAGACTCAAACTTCTTTTACGACATGCAAATGATGGCGTTTCTTATTGGCAAACAGAGGAATGAGGCAGAATGGTCTAAAATAATTTTTGATGCAGGTTTTGGGAGCTGTAATAACTCCCATCTTTGGTTTGAGGTCTCTGATTGAAGTTTATCCATAAATTAGACAAGAATTTGCAGTACCATAGCAAGCATTACAATGTCGCAAACATTTTCCAAACTTTGTTCGCACTGAATTGCTTCGTATGAATAAATGTTAGAATTAGTGCTTATAAAACATGTCTACTAATTCTTATCCTATTATGACATATGCAAAATAAAATATTATATTTTTATTAATAATAAATATCTACATTTTGTTTCCACTATATTTACAAGAAACATCATAATGATCTAATACTTAATACAAAGTCCTTATTATACATATGTGGGGTTCATTTGCAGAAGATATAATTTAAATAAGATTGTATAAAATGTGGGTTCACAAACAGTAGATAACTCCTATATTTGGTTTGAGGTCTTTATTTGAAGTTTACCCATAAATTAAACGAAAAATTGTAATGCCGTAGGAGACATTACAATGCAAACACTTGCCAAAATTTGATCGCATTGAGTTGCTTTCTTATGAGTAAGATATTAGCTTTATTATGGTAAACATGTTAAGAATTGTGTCCAAGAGCAAATATACTTATCACCCTGGACATTTATTTATATTTAATAGTTTTATCTCCTTTATTTCATAGGTAAAAATTTTGACAAGGAAGCAAAATTTCGGGACATCTATATTATCAAACCTTTAGATGGCGTTTGATTGCAACAGCGCAATGGTAATAAAAATTGTAATGGTGATAGTATGAAATAGAATTAAATAAAAAAGTCTCACTTTTTTTTTTTTGTTTGCTTGAATCTTTACAACAGCTGCTACTTGAATACCAATAAATCACAGTACCCTCCACATCCATACGGACGTTTGTTATCTCGCAACCGACATGAGAAGTCTAAAAATAACACTTGGTCATGTCGGAATCGGACATCGCTTGTGAAAAATCTAAAAATAACACTTTTAACGTTGATCATCACTTAAACGACGTGAAAAGTCACTGTGGGTGATATTTCTCCCCTGAAGATGTCAAGAGTGGCTACCAAGGAGATCTCAACTGTGCAGTTGCCGAAGATCTATGGGTGCGACCTTTCTTCTCGACAGTGGAGGCAAGCAATGGTGGCGCATCTAGCCAGAGGGACGTCAGCATCACAGCAGAGAGATCAAGTGGGCAACACCACCAGATATGACGTCACGAGTCCATTCTTGACACATTCAAGATCCGTTTAGTTCGCTGATTCGAATTTTAAATTTGAATTAAGATACGATTTTATGTGAAAAATTTTTACTGTAACAAAAAAATTAAATGTGATTAATTCTAAGAGCTTTTTACTGTACCAAAACAACTCAAATCGGTGAAATGACTAAACAAATAAAGGGTATTCTGGTTTTGTTTTTAGAATGAGGATTTGATCACTATAAAATATCACAAAGCAAACTGCCACATCACTTAAAAACCAAAATGAACCAAAAGTAACATCACTAATACGATTGAGCATAAAATCCCTTAACAAGAAGCTCTCATTTGTAAGAGCAACGACGCGTCAGAAAAGTGAAGTGGCATCAAAAGAAGCGCTTTCCGACAGGGAATGAAACATCAAACATTCATTCTAAAAAATTGCAGTTCCTTGATTGAATTTTTTTTTTTTTTTTTTGGTGATTCTCATTTGTTGTGTATTTGAACTTGCACCTACAGACCATTTTCCCCATGATTAACAAAGCTTTGATGTAAATAAAGGTGAAGTTGCATAGATTCTGATCAATTTCCAACTGTTTCCCCCATCCTCATGTTTCAAAAGTCTGGTATACAAGAATAAACAAATATTTCCGTCTATCGCCGGAGGGGAACATCTACAATCTATTCAAAGAATGGATATAGAAAAAGCTCAAAACAGTGTTAGAAACCATGTATAAACCATATAGACCTTGTTATAATACCTTCAGATGCCAAAACTTTTCATTCCAGATGAAATTGCTGGAAACCGGCATATACAGCAAAAGAATGGCACGAGATCACACCCTAGATGTTAGTCGTTTGGATCCATTTCTTCATCCTGCTCAAAGATTAGAGATGCATTAGTGTTGCCACTGTTATTTGATTCATGTTCTTCAACCAGATTACTTTCATATTCTAGCAAGTCAATGTCCTCATTTTTTCCCTCTTCTTCTGCAAGTGACTCCGAAATATTGATATCTTGGTCGTGCTGCATCCATTTCGGGCACTCTTCTTCACCTCCATATAAAACTTGGTCATTACCACCTCTGACACGAGTTGGAGTCTCCAATGATGATAATCTACAAGAACATTCGGGAAGTGGGTGTGAAATAAATGATGCTGATTTCGACAAGAGGGATTGCCTTATAAGGCCTTCCTCTCCCAAGCTTTTGTTGAGATGTTCCTGCACTAGAAGTGTCCAATTCTGCTTCGGATGGTACATATTTTCACGGGTCATGTTCAAAAGTTCTGCAAGAACTTTCCTGTTTAGACGAACAAGAATTAGAGTACAATAGAGAACGATGATATAATGCCCAACTCTGTGCTCGTTTTTTACCCATTCTATTTCTGATTGTAATCTAGTATATATTTAGACAAGCAGATGAAGACAACCAGCAGTATCAGAAGCTTTTCCAATCCCATGCGTAATAATAAAAAGTAGAGGAACGTCTCTTAATTCTTTTGGTTGAAAAAAGACCATAAAGAACACAACACCTAATTACTTGCAACCATTAGCTTCACATGTCTTACCTGTCTGGCCTATATGTTCGAGATGAAGCAATCTCATAGAGCCTGTGTCCCATGACCAAGCTAGAAAAATCTGGCCATCCACTACCATCATTATGAAAACCAGGAAAGAAGGCATCTGCCTCCACCGATACAATATAATCAAGAGCATCCCAAAGTAGTCGGTGCACTTGCATCCTTAGATCCAGAGGTGAAGGATCAGGTTCAGTTTCAGTCTCGGTAATCCAACCATACCAACCTTCTTTTTCATGTCTATAGATCGGTCTATCTGGAGGGGGAGGAAGAGGCCGCGGCCGGGGACCAGCTTTTTTCCATTCTTTTAGTTGTTCCTCACTTTTGGCTGGAGGTGATTGAAAAAGATCAAGAGGAAGAGGGGTTTCAGGTCCAAGCAAATCAGACAACTCTGATTTGCTGCACAAAGACGTGTGATCCACTAAGTTAGCAAACATGGCACGTAGAGGGATTAGAACACGTTGGCCTCCAAAAGTTTCGGAACCAGCTAGATAAATAATAGTTTTAGGAGGATAACCCATTGCACGAAGAAGGATTCCAACCTGCATAAGTTTCAAAAACACCAAATGAGCTCACATCAAAATAACCATCACTGAACAGAAAAGGCTAGTAAACTGTAAAGAGTTCTTTTTTAGCTTTATTTAGTTGGATTATTTATAAAAATAAAAAAAAGAAGGAACACCATGCAGCCTGTACGATTAAACATCAGAGGAACAGATCATATCTCTCAACGCATAATCCACTATTTGATTCTGAAATTATCTAGCCAATGGATTTCAGATACCGCCATATCAGACCAGTCAGATAATCCCAGACTTAGATTGCAGTTGTATAAATATTCTACAGTAGCAGTGTCTATAAATGAACAAGTAACAGCTATCCAAGTTTATTGCAAACTGCAGCACCCTCTGCACACCTTGTAGATATGCTATTGCTACCTGATTAATGCAGTCATCTCTGTGTGCATGCGTCTGCTTTTGTAATTACTAACTTTTCCAGTTAGCAAATTGGACGGTTAACCTGAACTGAACAGTTCCAAGTAAAAAGATTTGGTTTTGTAAGTTAATGCCATCTGATTCAATTGTTTTATTAAGTTGGTTGGTGATCATAACAAGTCAAGTTACAAAACAGAAAATATCTGCATTACTAACTACTAAATAGCTTGCGAGAGTTACTGCCTATGGACCCCTTTGCAGAAATCTTGGACAGAATATAGTGATGAGGAATAAGAGAGGACTTTGAGGAAAATAATTATAGAAAATAAATTGTATTGATTAGGATTGATTTTTCCCTATTCTGATTTTAGAAAGTTGAATAATTTTATGCATATAATTAGTTACCTGTTTTGGGTTTATAATTAGCCTATATGTTGGCTATTGTGTTATGGACGACCCAGACTATGAATGATTATTGAAAAGTATTATCAGATTGTTTCTCCCTCTCATATTCTTCTTCCTCTTCTCTCTCTCTAAAGTTCTATCTCAAATTCTTCCTAAACCCCTCTTCTATTTCTCTCTCCTTTTCCCTAAATTCCCCTCTTTCTCTTCTCTATTCTCTTTCTCCCCTAGTTCTGCATCATATAGATTGTGTCGCATGAACATTAAGATGTTCAGTGAACCTAACCTCTTAGTTGACGTTTCTATGTCCTCAAATTTCTCTCTGTTAATTTTTCCCTTATTTTCACCAGCAGTATTTTCAGATTGATCGACTATGAAATACCATTTTCTTCAATGGTCGTTGCCTGAGATGGCTATAGCATTGTTAGAATGAAATTAAGATGACTATCTAAAATCCAGAAGTTTGATTCCAACTTGCAGGGCTATGCCACGAAAACCACAACCAACCAAGGTATTATTCAAATTTTAAGAATTCACAGAAGCTTCAACAAGACCGAAAGCATAACCCTAAATCGAGCATTATTTTTGTGTGTCTATATATCTGTGTGTGTGTGTGTGTGTGTGAAAGAAACATACATCGGGCATGAATTAACAGTGTAGATATAAAAGTTATAACAAAAGGCATACCTCTTCAGGCATCAATGGGCAAGAACCATTTTCTCTACGCAAGCGTGAATCTATGCTCAAGTCTTCCTTAACAATCCCTCGTTTAATCATCTGTGCCCTTCGATATTGTATTAGTTCTGTATGAACATCCTACAAAAAAACTTAAGTTTACTAATTATATTTAAAAACACGAGAATTAGAAATCATAGATTGTTTCTCGTATTGATTTAGCATACTCATGGGAATCTATGAATAAAGTGATTTTCCTTTTTATTTCAATATTCTAACTTTGGTCTATTGGGAGAGAGATAGGCCTCTCGAAAGCCGATCAACCATTGTAGCTCTCTACTTTCTCCATCAATAGCAGTTTCTATCTCTATTTCTCTCTAATTTCAGTCAAATCTGTTAAGGTTCCTATCATTCTTATATAGAAAGATTTATCAGTCATTAGTCAGGGGATTCGTTTCTGTACTGTATCTGAGGATATCTTGCCCTTGGATTTTTATTCTATTACAATATAATTATTGCAAGTAAATTATTGTGTACCTGTCTAAAATAAAAGGTATATAGTTAATCTTTCTGAGCTAGGTAGAAAACAATCAAAAATAGTAAAAGTCATAAAGCTTTTTTTGGGAGAAAAAGAAAACAAAAACAAAAAACAAAAAAAACAAAACCTTGTTTGAATACTGAAATGCCAGGGAACTTGGAGCCAACACAGAAATTACCAGAAAGTAAGGTAAGCAGCTACCTGATAAAGTTCAGCACAACCATGATATGCCAAAGTGTCTCTCGTCAAGCCAGGATGAAAGGCTAGGAAAGGTTGGCCCCATGCTCTTAACCTGTACAATAGAGAGTATAAAAAGGAATTCGAAATTCTTGATCAACAACTACTGCAATCTATACTTGTGGACCATGGAACCCTTCTAGGTAAAGTTTATGTATAGTATTTTCTATGCAATTTAGCTTCAAAAGCTTACAACTTGTCAATCAACCAATGAACTTTAGAGTGTCACTGCATTTGTATAAATTAAAACAGCTAAATGATTTGAGTATGATAAGCAATGCTTTTTTTATTCTTCTTCTCTTCTTAGTCTAATTTGTCAGCAAATCAAACCTAAAGTTCTATGAAAGTTACTTGTAAGCGTTATGCTTATTCTCAAACTTTAAATAAGTTACACATACACACACACGTGTGTGTGTTTTAAAGGTCTTCAATTCAATAAGGTCTCAGATATCTACAACTTCTCTACATTTCGAACCTGTTGAGAGCATTGAAATCTCAGCGATAGGTTTAAAGATTCATACCTCTCTACCATACGATGCCCAAGCTCCCTAATCTCTAGGCGGAATTGAAGAGCATGGAAAGCAACCCTGCATCTGAGCCTTTGAAACTCAGACATGCTAGATGGAAGGATCGACTGAAAAGAGGAAACGGATTGGATTAGAAGGGTGGTTCCATTGAGCAGCCAGTTGGGTCCTTCGTATCTTTTAAAAAATTATTGCTTCACCCCCTAGAATTTTCTAATTTTAAATTTTACGCAAAATATTTAGAAAGTTTCATTTAGACTCTTAATTTTTACTTCTACTTATTATTTCATTTTTTTACCTGTATCTATTATTTCAAATTTAAGAACTCAAATATACAAAAAATAGGATACAATACTGCCTAAGTTTTTACATTTGGAGGAAGAAGAAAAAAGATAAATGAAGATTAATAGAAAAAGCAAAATAAAGGCACAAATAGCAAAAGAAAAAGAATGATTGTGAGATCTTTAGTATTTATAACACTATCAATTTGGTTCAACATTTCAACTTTACTCAAGCCCCCACAGCCCTTGGGTTCCCTCTCCTTCCATGCCGGTTTTGCAAGGGTGAGTTCTAGCTAATAACAAACATCCTTAAGAGAGAAATAAAACGAGACAAGCAAAAGGGCAAGAATACAAATCCACATCCTTAAGAGAGAAATAAAACGAGACAAGCAAAAAGGCAAGAATACAAATCCTCCTCCTCTCTATCATTAAGATTTCTTCCGAAACCAAAATTCCAATTGAGTTCATTACCAGTGGAAAGAGAACCCATTTCAGAAATGCGTACAAAATGATTTTCTTGTTAGCCTAAACAACTGAGTTAAGGAAAGATCAAATAACTGGTTCCCATAACCCACATACTTCCGAAAAAGGATCCCATTACCCATACCCACCTTCCATTTAATGTTCTGAAGGAAGACATTCATTCCCTGAGAAATAAACTTCCATGTATTCCTAAAAGCAATATATCAATGACTCAGATTTAAAAAATAAAAAATTAAAAAAAAGAGGAACAAGAAAGGAGCCTCTAGAGGCAAGATTCGGGTCCCAACCATTTGAGTGCAGTAGATATTGGAAGGATTGAGCACCCTATTCTTGCAGCTTTCATACTGAATGTTGTTTGAGATCTAGGTTAAAAATACTAGAGAATCGTGATTCAAATTATTGGGGAAAGGGCTGAATTTTGTTCTTCAAAGACACTAGTAAAAATAATAATAAATAAGCAAGTCCTGCTTGGAAACTATATATCTAAGCACAATAAATTTCCAAAGACGAAAGGGAGAAGAAGAAAGTGGGAAAAAAAATATTAAAAAAAGGCTGAAAAATAAAGAATAATGCACTAGGCCACCTGTTTCAAATAATAAAAAATACTTAGCCCGTTGTTTCATAGGTTCGAACTTCAATTCAAACGTATTTTATCTCACAAAATTTTGAATATCAGTTGAAACTTTCAATTCAAACCGACAAACCAAGCAGGCCATATAATGTTTCATCATCCAAGTAATGTAGGACCAAAACAGAAGTGATAGAATCTAAAGAGAAAACATAACCAAGATAGAAAAGAAGAACCACTAGAGATAAAAATAGGACCAAATGAGAGAAGAGAAGGGGCTAAGTTTGAGAACAATAACTCAAGAGAAGGCAATTCAATAATCTTAATATTCATTTATAAACAATCTCTGAATTGAAACTACAAACTTACATACTTGAAACCAAAGTAACAAAATAGGAAACTAAAAGAAAACAAAATAAGGAAACTTTATAACAAAAGCTAACCCTTTAAAAAAAACCCCAAATTCCTAATTAAAGAAAAACTAAACAAATATTCTGATATTGTTCTGCATCACTCAATCTCTTTGAGGACAATAAAGCATATTGGTGAAACTATTTCCTAGTCACTGGCAAAAAAAAAAAAGGAATCATTTACATAACATTACGTTTATATCTTAACCCCTATCATTATGTATACAATATATAATTAAACAAAGGACAACACAGACATTGCTTTGCATTTTAATTTTGAAAGTTTTCTATAAACACCCTTTTTCAAAATCAAATGCCAACTTGAAATCCAAAGGATAAATGTTACTTTCAAATGACATCACTTGCACTTGTTATCAATTTCTCCCACGTAGTGACTTATTTGGGACAACTTAATGAGATCGCAACTTTATTTAACACACGGTATTGTCTGTACGTTATGCATTAGACAAATGCATATGGTCTACCAATTCCTAGTAGGATAAGGACTTAAAAATTCTAGCAGTCTTAGCTGACTTCAAGAAAAGACTCGGCACTTCTAGAATCCTAGGAAAGTAGCAACTCAAATTAATTATCACAGTAGCAATAGTTTTGCAAAAGATTTATGAATTCCAGATTTGAAAGGGGAAAAAAATTTGACAACTTCTATGTAAACGTAGAAGAAAGTGTTGAGATTGATCGTTGTAAAACCCACCCAAGCACAAGAAAACTATAAAATGCAATGAACAGAGTCCTCTGGTATTATCAAACAGTAAAGTACCTGCAGACATCCGCCATCCGTAATAACCAAACCAATAACCTTGGCTTTCTTTAACGTTGGTAGGACTTCTTTAATATAAAAGTTTGGTGAAGCTGAGCTTTTGGGCTTAAACGTGGGAAATGCATTCCTTTTTCTCGCTGCTTTTAAATTCTCTGGCAAGCTCTTGACAATGAGTATGTCATTTGTAAGTGATGCTATAAATTGCTCCTCATCATACAGATATGAGAAACTCTTGAATTTGTTGCTGGAAAGAAAATTATAAAAGGTAGAAACCAGTTAAGTATGTGATTTACTAGAAACCAGTAATTGAAATAAGCAGGGAACATTACACAAATACCTGATGCCTTTCGAGTGAGTACTCTCTTGAATCTCTGGAATGACAAGAGTAGCATTTAAAAGCCTGGATATGGTGACAAGATCACATATCTGAAAAATTATCAAAATTCAATTAACCCTCTGTAGAAATTGTAGTACAGCTGACTTTTGCATATTGATTAAACCTTACCGAAGATTTTATGTTTGCAAACCCACCAAATATTTTTGCATATATGAACCCATTGCTCTGTTTGTTTGGAGCTGTAAAGAAAAGAAAGTGATCCATTAGCTGAAAGGTTCAAAATTTAAGTGGATAGAGACCTCCAATAATGCAAAACCCAGGAAAAAAAAAAGAGAAAAAAAAGAAAAGGAAAAGAAAGAAAACAGAACAAAAACACGCACATAAGGTAAAATTTTTGCCAAGATATTTGAAATATATTATCGTGCTCGTTTGTCCAGATTCTATGAGTCCTAGATACATGATAGAAGCTTTCATATCAGCAATTTTTATCTCAAAATAATGCAATTTTCAGAAATCTATTTACCCTAGTCCGCAACAAACAAATCAACACTTCTTCTTGTGCACACCCAATTAAAGTATTTGATAATTCACACCCAATATAAGTTCATCTATCTATGAAGGCTGGATTTCGCCTGTATAAAGCATCTTAGTCAAGCTTCCTCCTATACATTTTCAGCCTTAAAAAAAAAAGAGAGACCACGAGGGAAAATACTTTTAAATTTCATTTCTTCACAGCTTCTTCTACCCGTGGGACCCTTATTCATCTTCCAAAACTTTGCAACTGATATCGTTCTTCCCAATTTTTACATTTCCACATTTTGAAAAATGGAAAACAGAAGTCCTTGAAATTGCTAAATTTTACGAAAATCTATAAACTCTCAAAACACCTGCTAAATATTGTACGAGAAGACGACCCAGACACCAAAAAGAAAAAGCTAAACACTGATGTTAACAAGCTAACATAAGTGGCCAAAGTTGCTTATACCTTTCTTCCAAGATTATTAATCTCAAGGCCATTGCGATTGCCAATAAAAAGACGCCTTTTTCAATTCAAATTGAAATCTTAACAATAAGAACACCCAAAAAAAGAGAGGGAAAAAATAAAAGAAATCGTTACCAGGATAGCTGTTTCTCGGGTTGGCGTAAGGCTGCAAGGTCTGCAATGGCTTCACAACGCCCCATAGTTTCTTATTCCGATAATTCTGATTCATTGTGAACCAAATATCCCAAAAAATGTAAACATATCATCATACCAAGAAAAGAAAAAAAGGCATCAAATGAAGAAACAAAAAAATGTTCCGAAGAAGGCACCTGTCTCCCTGGAATGGAAGCGAAATCGTCGCGGAATCCGGCCATGGCGGTGTACTGGACCAAATCGACGGTTGAAAACCTTGCGATCGAGAGATGTTTGAGTAGAGACGCGAATGACAACACGAGAACGAATAGAGCAATCCATTTTATCTTCGATTTGAACACCATTTTTTTTTTTTTTTTTACATTCCGATTCCCAACTTCATCAACTAAAACGCCAAATCAGGATTCGAAATCTGGAAACCAAAATTAATCTGAAGATTCATAACCTAAAATGAATACCTAGCAAACTGAACTTAAAAGCAGGGAATAACACAGATTGTTGAACAATATATTTTTTTTTTTTTTTTTTTTCGGAGCAAGCGAAGTCATACGAAATACAGAGAGAGGTTTTTTCTTTACTTTTTTTTTTTTGGTGGAACAAAAGAAAGGAGGATTTTCCCGAGAAAAGCAAAAGGAAACTTGAGAAGAAAAGAAGGAAAAGGGGTGTTTTTCTTTTAAGAAAAGGAAATAAAAACGAAAACTACGTTGAGCGGAGTTGTGAAAGAAGTTTTTTTAGGTTCCATTTTTCTTTTCTCCTTTCTTTTCGTTGTTTCTTACTTGCAACTTCTTCTGAGAAAAAGACAAGTTATTAATAACAATTCCAGATGGATCTTTGGATTTCGATATCTCGCTGCGGTCCCTGCGACTGTCCGTCTCAATGGTAATAGCCAAACAAAACAAAAAAAGGTTGGAGCGAAAATGGCCTATTAATTATAAATAGACTAAAGGAGAGCTCGGAAATACTCACACAGCCCCAATTCACTGTTCTTCTTTATACAGTAAAGTAGAGTGATGATTTTGTCCTTCTTTCTTTCCTCTTTCTTCCTTCCGTGCCGAGGCTTCTTGGTCTTTTTGCCTTTGTGAAACGTCTGATTTACCGCCCTTTCTCTTCTCTTTTTGCTTTGCTAGGCAGGGGCTTTTTCGTCTTCTCACTTCTCTTCTCCTCTCCTTCTTCGTAGAAACTCTTACGAGACGTTTGTTTGGTTATTAGAATTATTTTTGATTTACGTGTATTTTTTTATGAGAAAAAATATTATAACAAATTATGAATCATAATTTAAATTGGGGTACGAATCTCTCAACTAAATAACTCTTAATTTTTCTCATATTAAAAAAAAAAAAAAAAAAAAAAAGGCTCTTACAGTCTCACTAACTCTCACTTTGACCACGCTCTTTTTGTATTACTTTCGTATAATCCTTCACTCTGGCCGTCTCTCTTTCTACTATTCTCTCTTCTCTGTATCTTTGAATTTCGACAAACTCTGCGTGTGTTTGTGAGAGGAGGCCGGCCATTACCAAAGACAAATTGTTGTGGGTTTGAGCCATTGATCACCTGATTTTTGTGTTTTTTTAGTTTGGGAAAGGAAGGTTTTTTCCCCTTTCTTTTGTACAGGAAGGAAAATTTTACGGTTCGAATTTTGATGTTGCTTTAGACGTTGGTCACATTAATCCGAAAATTCTGTTAAAAAATTGCTTATCCAAAATATTAGTTAATGATAAATATTAAATTCATTATATTTTCAATAATAAAAATGGGCTGTGTTCTTACAAAAAGATTATAACAAGGCAATTGACCATTTTGTGTGATAATGGATTTAGTACAGAAATCAGAGGCGGCATCCTCTCCAAATTTCGCATACGATCCTCAGAAAAGGGTGAAACATTAAAAAAATAAAAAAGGGTCGTTAGTTAACATATTTCCTATTGCTGTTAAGATCACATATTTTAAAGGATTTTTCAATATGTTTTCAATAACTTAAAAACAACGATGTTGGCTGTAATAAACTCAAAATGCTTTATTTCCTGATTGTCGTGAGAGGTGTTTTCATTAAGATATAATTTTAACTTCTTATCATTCTCTCAATGATGTTCCAAAATCCAACCTTGAAGTTGTTATGTATCCAACCTAAGATTCAAATAAACTGATAATTCTGTATTCTTGAGAATGATATATAGTTTTAGTTCTTATCGTTATTTGAATGATGTTGAAGTTTTAGGGGTAATTACTAATAGTTTATCAGTTTTGATCGCTGGTATCCCTGGAAGTTTTTGTTAGGAATTTAAGTTATTTTTCCTTCTTTTTTTCCCTTTTCTGCCTTTCTTTTCAACTTTTTAATTTTTGTAGATAGAGCTTATCTTCGGTGGAAATCTGCCTCCAGAGTAAGATTGAAGACACTTCAATTTTACTGATTCGTCAGTTAAATTTTTTTCTATTTTCCTTACTCCAAATTCTTTCATTAAAAAAAAAACATTTTTTATGTCGAATTCATGGGATAATTTAAGATTTTGGATGTTCTTAGATGTTAAGTGAGTGAAATTTAGTCAAAATTTTAAGTTTTTTTTTAAGTTATTTCTGGTTTGAATAGAAATCCCTAATCCTAATTCCTAATTGGCTTTCCTACCTATTGCAGAGAATTTCGCTTTCTCATACTATTTTACTTTAGAAAATACTGTTTTTAGTTTTTCGTGTATTTATGCTTTTGCTAATTAATTAATGAAGAAAATAAGTTAAAGAACTAAAAAAGGCATATCAATTTCATTTGTGATATAAAAGAGAGAATTTCTATTTCATTTACATATATGTGTGGGCATATATATATATATATATATGAGAGGTAACTGTGAGTGTTATATATGCAGATGTTGACAAAAAATGATCCAACATACTTAAACCCCTCTCAATCGGTTCATGCGAATTTGTTGGCGCCTAATGTCCAGGTTCTTTTTTTTTTATTTAATAAATCTGTTGAAATTTCTGTGATTTAGAATGTATAATTAAAGGGGTTTGGTTATTATAATTTTTTATAGCTTCTTCTTGACTTAACACGGTTTTTTACTTTGTGTGTCATGTAGATTTCTGGTAGAAGAGAAAGTAAAGTTGATAAGATTTTTCGTAATTCTCTACAAAATAGTGATTCAGCTCAGAAATACATGCAATGATTGAGAAGCAAAAAGATTGTCAATGTGTGTGGAAAAGTAAGTTTTTGGCCATTTGGCTATATTTTCGCTTAGATTATATTTTTTAGATAAATGTTTGATAGAAAAAGTAAGGAGAACAACAATGTCATAGAAAATGATTACAACAGTATAACATTAATTTGTGTTGTTTCTGTTTCACTAATCTTATACTATAAAAAATCTCAACTTTTTGTATAATATAACAGTATTTCTCACAACAACGCGTAGATTCTCAACTAGTATTTTATCCAAAAAAAAATCCCAACTAATCTTGACTCCTTATATATGGTACGTACATATATGAATTAAAATGGGATAATCCAATTTCTTTTGGAATCCGAGTTCGTTTCTAACAAATAATCCAAAAAAATCTAAATCAAATCTAAGCGAATGATTTGATAAGAAATTTCAAATTCAGAAAAAAGAAATTGAAAAGGGATAAATTCCAAAGAAATTCAGAATATTAAATACCCAAAAAAAATCAAAAGTGTATAAATTGGGCTTCTAATGATTCTTAGCTCAAAAGGATGAGCCCATTTAAAACCATATGGGTCTCGTTCACTTCACCAATTCGAATTTTCAATTTTAGGTTTTTACAGTAAAAAGCTCTCAGAAAATGTCACGTCTAACTTTTTCTGCTACAGTGAAAAGCTCTCAGCAAATGTCACATCTTAACTCGAATTGAAAACTCGAATCCGGGAAGTGAACGAGGCCATGGTAACCCAAATAATTTTCATATCCCAAGTTCAAATCAAAATTTCAAAATCTAAAACAAATTCAAAAAGGATATTTCTTATTTCTCATATGGTTATATTATAGTGATGTCAAACGTGCTGTGCCGGGCCGGCATAGCACGCTTGACCCCAGGCCCATCACAGGCCTGGGCCGTGCCAGGCACGACCCTGCACAGTGCAGGGCCGTGTCTGGGCCAGGCTTGAGAAGAAAAACTCAGGCCCGGTCCAGGCTCTTGGCCCTAGTCCATAAGTGTGACGCCCCTAAGTGGGGGTTATGTAATAAAAGTGCGGTAACGGTGCACAAATAGAAATAAAATAAAATAAAACTCCTGAAATAAAAATAATGTCTGCCCATGGGCCTTTAAAACGAACTCTCCGTTAAAACCCATAATTCATCGTTACGTTAAAACTTAGATCCACAGTATAATGTAGCACCAATAAAATATTTAACAGTACGATCATCATCATCAGTTACAATTCTGTCCAAAGTAATCCAATCAAGGTCTTACACAAATTTAAGGAAGGAAACTGAAAATGGTAGATCCTCTACGAGGGGCACGCTGATCGGTGACTACTCCTCGTCTGAAAGGTTGCACTGTACACCCCCTGGAAATGAAAGAGGACAAAGGGGGTGAGCACGGAATGCTCAGTAGGAGAACTATTACTCACTCTTAGTTTTATTTACCTTTCCCAAATTAAACCTGCATGGTTAGTAATTTCTACTTTTTATGCACAATAAATTATGAAAACCTGTGTCAGTGAGATAATCTAGTCCGTACACTCGGGACGATAAACCCCCGAAGGGCGCGGTGACTCATAGAGACTGATGGTAGGGAACTCTAACTCGATGTCCTTACCAGATCAGTTCTCGAACCACGGGTAAGGGTGAACTGTCGTTCCGGACCCTCACCAGGACGTAACCATTGTACAGTAACCTTGGGGATTCTCAACCCCGGAGAACGTCATCACCTCTCCCTCTTTTACCTTTTCGGGTTCACACCTAGGGATGGTGAACGGCCACACCTACTGTTAGCACACTATCTCACTATCGTGTCCGGTTTACATTCTCCTAACCATGGTTTTGTGTCAATTTCTAAAATTATGTTAAAATCTCTTGGCCACGCTGTACATTACAGGACGGGCCCCTAATGGTTCTGTTTCAAGTCATATCGTGTAACAGTAATAAATAAGTTTGATATATAATTTAAATCTTCTCAAATTTAACAAAATAAATTAAATTAAATAAAACTCTACAAAAGTTAAGGAATAGGACCCCTACCTCAAAACGGATCGTCAACCGAAACTCGAGAAGCTGCGAAACGAAGCTTCGCCGGAATCCGGCCACCGGCGGCGGCGGCGGTACGGCGGCGGAGCTTCCCGGAGAAGAATCACGCGGCGGACTTGAGTCCTACCCCCCCTACATCGATGGTTCTGAATCCAATGGCGATGTCAATTTTACCAAATTCGGCCTCTAACTACTCGGATCGAGATCCTCAATTCCGGCCGAATTTCAAACCTTGAATCTTTGTTTTTCAGCCATGGATCTTCAAAATTGATTGGGGGCTTTCATTACCCGTGAGATTCTCAGCATTTTGACACCAAGATCACGAGGATCCAACGGCTAGATCGCCGGAACCATCCTCCCACTTTTCTCGGCGGCGGCGGCGGTGACCACGGCTGGTGGCCCAGAACGGCTCACCGACTCCCTCTGAAGCTAATGGGCTGGGCGGTGTCGTTCACAGCGGCCGGAGGAAGGAGATTCGTGGGCGGCGGCGGTGAGGGATCCGGCCACCACGGGCGGTGGTGCTCCGGTCAGAATCAAGCCGTGCTACTGGAACCGTTTTCTTTGTCTCTTCGCTTTGAGTCTATTAGGACAGGAATCACCTCGATCGGACACCGAACGGCGAAGATATCACGATCGGAAGTTTTTGAGATTTTTCAAAACTTTGACCGGCGAGTGTGGCAGCGTCCGGCGGAGTTGGCGGCCGCAAGACACCAATCCGGACTCGGCTCGACGAGAGCTTTCCAACGAA